ACACACACACACACACACACACACACACATATATATATCTATACGAGCAAAGTACTTAAAATATCCTGCAAACCTACATACATGGACACATAGAAACATGTAAATATACACACGAGCGCATATAAACACACAAACACAACGTCTTTCCACCTATACCTGAAGTGCCATACACATAGACCTTCGGCGTGTAATACCTGTTGCTGTATGTTTTTTGCGTCTTTGGAAGGACTTGCTGACCGAGTGGGAGAGTCTGTCGGAGAGGCGAACAATGTGCTCAATCCCATGCCCATGCCACTCATTACAGCCGCACGACCTCTGCAGTGGTATGTAGTAGAGATCGGTAGTAGAAGGTAGCGTGATCGCATCACATTTGGTTTACACATCTATAACACTCGTGCATCCAAATTACGCTTGTATCTGAGATCTGCTGCAGAAGATTGCCTGAGCACTTTAATAAAAACACCAGAGCAAACTTTAATTTACTCAGACCAATACCTATACCACACATATCCCTTACAAAGACCAGAGCGAACTTCAATGTACTCAGACCAATACCTATACCACACATAACCCTTACAAAGACCAGAGCAAACTTCAACTTACTCGGACCAATACCTATACCACACATACCCAAACTTCCATCTGTGGCATTAACCCATTTTGCTTGTTATCGAGCGCATAATACCACCACGAGCATGCACCTCAGGATGTCTCTGCGCAACACCGATAAGACGGGGTAAACCAAGTTTATACGCGACTATCAACTTCGTTCAGGCACACCTTGGTGTCTCCGGCGTCTTTTTCCCAGCATTTGATTTCTCCTTATCGGTTGATATGGATTGCGCCAGTTGTTGCAGAAACTGCGATTGCGTGTCCATTTGTGACGGTGGACGCGATGACTGCATGATGCATGGTACAGGCCATATGAGAAGTAAACGTTTATTATTGAATTATGACATGCCCATATAAACAGAGTCAATGTAAACGGAAAGACTAATAATTGTGCCGTGGCAAATAAAATCCAGGTACGTAGTATTATTATGGACATGTCAGATGTGATACTGAACTGATATAGTAATAGCTATACGGACATGCCAGTGTGATACTAATATAGTAATAGCTACATGGACATGCCAGTGTGATACTGATATAGTAATAGCTATATGGACATGGCAGATGTGATACTGATCGATGCAAGGACAGTTTATCTGGGTGCGTGTTTCGTGTAAGCAGTAAGTAATCTTGAGACATGTCCTGGAATGTTGCACATATACACGAGCGTGTACATACGTCTATATATATATAGACTAAAGTTATAGCTATGACAACAGTCTTCCATCAATAAGTGCTGAGCCAATATCTGCCTCTCCATTCATTCGTAAGTACAGGTGTTGTTTCGAACTGAGTATTCGCATATATGTGTATGTAGATTTACAACTATTGAGTCATCTATAGCAGATTCAAATACGTTTAATGGATACGCAAACGCGATCTCACAACGCGTCTCGGAGATCGGTCATGCTAAATCTTATGGAAACACACACTCTGACTATCGCACGTATTTACCAAAGAACATAAAACATATACGATCTGGAAACGGCGCACATTTGAGTAAAGGTACATTTAAGATTTAAGTAAGTGTTTGATTGGACATCACAACCCATGTCCACATCTTCGTATCTTATGATCCATTGCACTATAACATAACATACAAAACAAGGCGTATCTCCATGTCGTTTGACAAAACAAGGCGTATCTCCATGTCGTTTGACAAAACAAGGCGTATCTCCATGTCGTTTAACAAAACAAAGCGTATCTCCGTGCAGTTTAACAAAACAAGCCGTATCCCCATGTAGTTTAACAAAACAAGGCATATCCCCATGTAGTTTAACAAAACAAGGCATATCTCCATGTAGTTCAACAAAACAAGGCATATCCCCATGTAGTTTACCAAAACAAGGCGTTTCTCCATGTAGTTTAACGAAACAAGGCATATCTCCATGTAGTTCAACAAAAAAAGGCATATCTCCATGTAGTTCAACAAAACAAGGCATATCTCCATGTAGTTTAACAAAACAAGGCATATCTCCACATAGTTTAACAAAACAAGGCATATCCTCACGTAGTATCAATCCCAAACATATCCGCATAGCCTATTCACTCACCTGTGCATTTGGCGCTGACTTGCTGTCCATCGACTGCACCACTCCCGTCCCGAACTGTTGCTGCTGGTGCTGAATGAGCATCTCCAGCGATTGCCGCATTAAAGCCTGTGACGCCCGCCCATGCCGCCACACCAAGCCATTGCTGTATGTGATATGCACGTGTAAAAAGACAGAAAGGACATGCTGTATGTGATATGCACGTGTAAAAGAATAGTAAGGACATGATGTATGTGATATGCACGTGTAAAAGGATAGTAAAGACCTGCTGTGTGTGATATGCCCGTGTCAAAGGATAGTAAGGACATGATGTATGTGATATGCACGTGTGTGGGGAGAGTAAGGACATGCTGTGTGTGATATGCACGTATGTGAGGATAGTAAGGACATGCTGTATGTGATATGC